GGACCGAGGATACTACCTTGTGGAACGCCTGCAGATTGAGCAAAGAGGGATGAGAAGACATTATTTTGGTTTACTCAACGTCGAGAAAGACTCCCGTGCAGTACATACCGCGCTCCAATGCAGAGGAGACTACATCAACCACACGGTGACATTGTTGGATAGTGGAATTGATGTGCGGAATCCAAATTGGTGATCAGGGATAATATGATTAGAGTCTAGGATGGGATACAGGCGTTTTAGGATGAGTTTTTCCAGGATTTTGCCCATGATAGGTAATAGAGAAATAGGACGGTAAGAGGATGGGTGTTTGGGTGGTTTTTTAGGTTTGTGTAACATTTTGACAATAGATAGTTTCCAAGAATCAGGGAAATGTGTGGATCGGAGCACAGCATTGTATATGTAAGTGAGGAATAGGATGGCTTTCCGAGGAAGAAGTTTTAGGATCTAGGAAGCTTAAAATAATTAAAGTCAAAACTACCTGTCAGTTGAATTAATTGCTTTTCTTAACCATAAAACATCGGAATGAAATATCTTTACTTTTCTAATTAGCTTATAAGAAATTACTGTTTAAAATTACTATCAAACCACCATATTTTTGAAGGAGCTGTATATGAACAGATATTTTAAATTAGCAACATTATTTTATAATCTAGCTTACAGCATACTTGGAAGTCAGATCGGTGTAGTTCATGTCTGATATTCATAAGAACAACAGTGTTGTAAAGATGATCAAACCCAACGTTTTGATTAGGACACTGGTAACATAGCAAGCAACATATTGGTGCTGTTTAAAAAAAAAATTGTATTTATAATAGCAGGTATTAAACCATGCGTGCATTCTATTGCAACATTAAGCCTAAATTTCAAAGCAGATAGTGAAGAACTTTCCGGGATTTAAGATTTTAAACAAACGAACATTATGATTTTATTTTACATAAAATAATCAACACATGAACAGTTATACATATGAAAAACGCGTGGCTAGTAATAGATAAATCAACCTTTGACCAAATCTACAAATTTCGTTTTAATTAAACAAAAATAAAGCCTCAATGTTCTACAATTTAAATGTTTGCAACAGCTTTCTTTAAACTTTTTCTTTCTTTTTTTTTTAATTTTTACTATTTAAGATCTCCACTTGATTTGATCCATTCTTGAAGGTACATGCTTCATTTAACTATTTGAGATTAAGGTGTTTGTGCCTTAATCTATAAACCTGTCTATCATGCAATTTACCTCCAAACATTAAATAATTATTAGTTTATAATTATTTGATTATAATAGGGTGTAAAAAAAAAAAATTACCGTTTTTCAACCAAATATTTGTATTATTATTTCCTTGATATAAACTACAATTAATACTCAAGATATAGTCCATTGTTATTTACCGTCATTAGCCATCTGCTAGCCAATTGCTTGATCCCACACTGATACCATTCTTTGGGATGGCTGTCAAAGAAAGAACTTTTGGAACCCCATTTCAACTTCCATAAAATTATCAAATTTTGTCCCTTGAAGATAATGGACCATGGATCTAAATAAGTAGCAATCCGATGGTGTGAGGTCTGGACTATATGGTGGAACTATAAAATCTTATATCAGAAGGGTTTTTCAATAAATTTTCACAAATTTCTAGCCTCTTAATTGCTGAGAAGTAAGTTCATGAGGGATCAGTCTACTGCTCTTTTGAACCTTCCCTATGGAGAGTAGATGGCGACTAACAGTATCTTTCGACACACCACACTCCCTGGCAAGTTCCCGAGTACTTGTGGACGGATTTGACTCAACAGCTTCCTGCAGAACCTCATCAATATCCATTAATGGTCACCCGGAGCCCTTCTTCCTTTCCAAGGTCATATCTCCACTGCTAATTTTTTCAAACCAACGCCGTACAGTGCGCTGGGTTGGTCAAGGACACCTTTCCCTTCATATTTAATAATATTACTAGTTGCTTCAGCGGCTGTGAAATTTTTTTTCCAGTAATGCCTTAAAATAACGAGAATTTCCTAGGATGCTGTCATGTTTCTTTTTTGAAACAAATAACTAAACTGAGGCTTTTTTTGAAGAAGCTGAAAGGGACTAAACAAGCTTAGAGAATGTTTTAAAAGGATTATTAAGTATTGGTAAGTATTAATAAATAGATAAATAAATATGAATTAATAAATAGGATTAAAATATAAACAGTCTTATGCAATCTTGAATTTGATAAAACGGTATTTTTTTTTTATACACCCTATTAAGAGGTTAATTAATTAGTTCAAGAAATCAGGTGAATGATATCTCTACAACCAAGATTCAAATATTTCTTTTAAATGGGTATAAACACATGCTATGTGTTAGGCTATAAACAAATAAAGCTAGTCTATGTCAAAATAAGGCAGACATTATAGTACAAAAAGCATTGGAAGAAGAAAGGAAACTCAAAAAGTTATCTTACCAACTGAGATAATTTTTGATAGGAGATGGAGCAGCTAAAAGCTCGGTTCCAAATTAACTGAGAAAAAATTTGTAAGTGTGATGGAAACTAGTAAGCAAATTAATTTGACCATTTTAATATATGACTGGATTGAATTGTACAGATACAAAGCCTGTGTCTTTGTATCTGTACAATTCAAGGTAGATGTTAATTGCACCCTCTCACAAGACATTTTATGGCTCTTTTCTTCTTAGATATAGCCCTAGAGAAAGCAATGCTCCGTGTTTTCCATTGTACTTTTTTTGAAAGTTTAACCAAATTGAAATCCAACAAAAATATAGCCAATTCGAAAATTAATAACGCTGTGAAAGTGTGCTCCTGTCAAAAATATTGAATCCTCTACTAGGCAATCCTCCAAGCACGAATTTGGTCACTGAATTCCTCTTCAAAGGAGATAAATGATTGCCTTTACAGAAGAATAGAAAAATACTTTTTTTTTTTAATTTGAAATATTAGTGGACTGGATTTATTAAAAAAACTAAATAAATAAACAATAGTGTTGTCCTCAGCCTTAAACTTCCTATAATTCTTTTATTGTTATATATTCGGTTGTACATGTCTTATAAATATTGTATTTAAAATAAATTCTTATTGGAATTATTTATTGCAGATTGTTTGTTATTAATTCTTACTTTCTTTATTTTCATAGTTTACTGATATCTGATATTTTTCATTTTTTGTTTTAGTTTAGTCACAATATTCAATAAAAAATATTTATTTTCTTTTACTCAATTCAATTAGTAAAATCTAGGAACCAACTCAATTCCTTTGATGTATACTGCCAGAAGGTTGAACACTGATCCTGATTAAAATAGATTAAATTAGCCATTACTTCGTCAAAAATTTGCTTAATCTGGACAAGAGTATGCACCATACTGAGTGTGTTCAAGACCGAAACGTCTCTCTAATCTCTTTGACAATATTACAAACAGTGATAAAATTCATTTCTAATCAGTTCTCTCTACTTGTGGGCAAGTAAGTTCTTTTGAACATAATTATTCAATTTTTTAAAATTATGCAATATTCACGGGTTCTACCCATGTCATAATGGCAAAGACTAAAGATTATTGTACAAAAATATTAAACACCACTTACCTTTAATATATATATACCATTAATATGATTAAAAAACTGTTTAAAACAATTGTAAAATTATAAGGGAATGTAGCATCACGTATAAATCAATAAACTATCTTTAAAAAGTTCATTTTTACCTTTAGTGACACAAAACCAGTTTTTTAATAGTTTTAAGAATATAATTGGGAAAAAAAACCAATCACTGAAAAAATAAAACAAGATAATTGTATATCATAAAAATTGGTGAAGTTCGATCAAGCTATAATTTGATTGACATATGAGTGGTCTCATATTAAAGACGGACATCTGTCATTTTTAAAAAGTTGAGAAGACACATTTTGTGATATAGTTGCAATTTGAAATGATTCTAATGCTTTTTGTTCATGAATTGACTTTTTCCTCACTTTCTGAAAAGGATAGATGTCCGTCTTAGATATAAAATGACTCATATATGCATGAATGTGTATATATCACCTGTTTGTGTATACATGGAGACCTTTTGTGACTGATAATGATTAACATCTTATTTAATTAATATTGTGAACTTATTGTATATTTTTATTGATAAAAATTATTGAGAAATTCACTAAAACATACTTAATAGGTTATCTCCATCAAAAAAAATTTACTTAGTGACTATTTGCAATAAACTGAGTACAAGAGGACCCCAAAAAAATGGGAATTTCGTCATAACTTTGGAGTTAGTCGGTGATGGGGGAGGGGGGGGGGTGGTCAAGTAAATATTAAATTATTAATATACTATTTTAATAATTTAGTATTTACTTCACCGCAACCACTCTCCGCCCCTCAACCAACTCCTTCTCATTCTTTATTTCTTAATATTTTTACACCAAATTTTGATCACTTCAAAGTATTCTCCCTAGACAATACACCTCTCCAAACAATCCTTTCATTGTTCAAAACATTATTTAAACTCACTTATTAGGATGTTCTTTAGGCCTACGAGCAATTTTTGTTTTACCTCCTCCACAGTGTCAAAAGGCTTTCCTCTCGTGTCCCTTTTGAGTCTGTGGAACAAAAAGATATCACAGGAGGCTTTAATTCAGTGACTAGGATGTTGTAAGATTGGAATCTGTTGAAAGGTGGACAATCAGTTTCATGCTGTTTTTGACAAAAACTGCTTTACAAAGAAGGCGGTGTGGACCGGTGAGTTTTCATAATGAAAGAACTAGTCGCCTGTGTTCCAAAGATCTGCCCTTTTCTTCTGGATTCCCTCCCTCAATCTTTTCTAAACTTTTAAGTAGAACTTCTGGTTGACAGTTTAACCTGGGGGAACGAAATCCACGTGTACAACACCTCTGCAATCGAAGGAACAAATGAGCATTGTCTTTTTGTTTGACTTCACTTGGCGAGCTTTTTTGGGACAAGGAGAGCCAGCTGTCTTCCACTAGCTTGATTGCAGCTTTGTTTTGAGGTCCATAGCACCATGATTCATTACCAGAAATCACTTAGAAAATTATGGATCCTCTTTGAGCTGATTTTGAAGCTCAAAACATGCCTGAAATTGATGCTCTCTTTCCTCGCTTGTGAGAAGACAAGTGACAATGGTTCAGCGACTGTTTTCACAAACAAGAGCATTGATTATTTCGACATTTTCGTCACTTCTTGATGTTGACGTTCAGCACAGCATTGGTCTTAAATTGATATTTCTCCATTTTCTAAACGTGAAAACCACTCATACACTCTGGTTTTACTTAGAGCAGCATCCCCATAAGCAGTTTTAAGCATTACAATAGTTTCCGCAGCCGATTTCCCCAACAGAAAACAAAATTTCATAGCCATGCATTGTTCTCGACAATCGGCCATCACATTTTCGACGAAATATAAAAACTGATTCACTAAAAAAGAGAACCGATGCATTCACAGCGACATAACTTCGCACACTAACTCAGGAGACATATCCCTAATGGACACCGGGTCGAACAATGGATTCCGCCACTCTCCTTCCCCACTACAGCCCAATTCCCATTATTTTTTAATCCTCCATCGTATATAATTATTTTATTTTCGGATGGTAAGAAAGAACATAATGTCTAAATAAATATAAATCATTTGTTATTATTATTATACAAGAAAAGTTAGTTATTTTCAAGTTGATAAAAAGTATCTTTTTGGAATGCTAAGTGGGGCAAGGAAAAACTGCTAGTACAAAAAAGCAGTGTCTCACTTTTTAATTTCAGAATATTAAAAAAAAAAAAAATTGAAACATTGGTGAGCTATAGGGCCAATAAAGTAATTTTAATAATTGGATCAAAGATGTGTTGATGCTGCTGAAAATTTGTAAAAGGTTGTAAAAATGAAAAGGTTGAAAATACCAAGCCAACATGTCAGATGAAGCAAAACAAAGAGATTAACAAAATTAAAAATGTATAAAATAGGCACTAATATACAATGGCTGTTATCGTCACATGACATGTCAACAAGATTACCAGTATAGTAATATAATATAGTTCAGCTATTTATAATTTAATGATAGGTTTTCTAACTAAAAATAAAATATTTATTCAGATTTTGGATAATCCCATTTCCAGGTTAAAAAACTATCACCATTCAAAGAGAAAAATAGCAGCTTTTTGTTTAAGAATTGTTAATGGCATTCTTTATAGAAAATGTTGGAAACAATACTTTAAAACATGCTTATTATACATGCTTAAAGCTTAGTTTAGTAAAACATTTGAAATGCCTTGAAAACTTTAAATGTATTATTTATATCCAGGAAAATATTATGATAATTATTGAAAAAATACTTTATTAGAACATAAATTAATATTCAAAAGATATAAAAAAAATTTATTGGCTTACACATCCAATCTAGATATATATATAAAAAAAAAAATACAATACAAATAAAGCGAACATTTTGAATTTAAGGCAAATCGTGTTAGTATAAAATGTTAATTATTATTTAAAAAAATTAAAAATCAGTATTTTTATGTATCACCAAAATAGAAGGTAAAACAGTTATTTGAATAGCCTTCTACTACCTCCTTTACAATAGCAGGGTAAGTATTGACAACATAATCCCAATTATGAGGTTTCATTAATGAAGCTTTGGAAGTAGAACAATCCAAAAGAAACTGTCTGGAATATTCTTTCTTCATCCCTGCAAAAATTAAATTCATTAAAATTAATTAAAAGAGAATTTTCAATCTAAAAATTATGATATGAAGTCTATTTAATTTAACATTTGTATTATTTTATTAAATAACAGATATTATGAAAATAAAAATGTAAACAAATGAGGCTTTTTATTTATCTTCGTTATTTTTAAGGAATGCAGGCCACACTAATTACTTTTTTGTAATTATAGAGGTGTGGCTATTAAATAACGAGACCGGTGCTGTAAAACATTTTAAACATATTTACTTATTATCACCTTCAATATACACCTTTCCTCTATCCCTACAATACATCAGGCTAATCATCTATTGTCTGAAACAGTGCTGGAAGTCTTCTTGTGCCAGCTCCTTCAGGACAAGCCTTTTATCAGCAAGCTTTCAGCAAGAACATGAATGTAGTTGTAATGATTAATAGTTTTATCTTCAGGAATCATGTGAAGGTGCACAACCCCATGAACACCAAAAAAAAAAAAAATAAATAAATAAATAAAATCCATTCACAGTTCCTTTGAATTGTGATTTGCTCATTTGAGTCTTTTTGGCTCTCGGTGGCATTGGGCTTTTCCAGTACATGGATTGGCACTTCATTTCAGGATCATAAGTAAAAAACCACGATTTATTAATCAGGATTAAAAGGAACAAGGCTATGTAACAGAAAGTGAGACACCTCCTGTAGGAACTGACAGAAGCAGACTTCCAGAGCTTTTTCACATGCAGTGTTGTACTAATAGAGGAAGGTTATAAATTGAAGTTAATAACAAGGCAAATGAGTATGAAATCCAAATAATATGTTTAAAGCACCAGTTTCGATATTTAATCGAATCCACCTCTATACGACCCTAGATAGAGGAAAAATGAAAAAGGTCAGCACCAGTGTATAAGTAAATCTAGCAAAGCATATAAAAAAAATTGGTGTGTGCAACACACAACTTTCACTTACCGCTCAACTTTGAATAGAAATTATTTTCTAGCCATGTTGGGCTATTATAAAAATTTTTAATTGCATTTTTAACTAAGCTAAAGCTAAAAGATTACAGCTAACAAATCATAAATACTATTAAAATAACAAAAGTCCTATTTATTATATCACCTGTTGATTATGGATAATACGATCCATTGATTATGGATTGTACGACTATTATTTATAAAACTGTTATTTTATATTGCAAAGTTTACTAAAATGGAATTAAGAGATTTGCATTGTCTGTCATAGATAGGTCAAAAGTTGTCACACTAATTGTAAGTGGATACTGTTGGAATATCGCAAAGGGAAAATTTATCAAATTATTTACTAATTTTATTTTCTAAAAGATTACATGATGATTTTTCGGAATAAGTGTACGATAGATACATAATTATTTAAATATAATATCAGATCTAGAGTTATTAAATTACAGTAAATATATTTATATATACTGACAGGCAAAAAATTCCACCCACTTGATTTTTTCATGTTTTCATCTAAAAATATTTTTACTTTGGATTCGTCTATTGTTTTTAATGAATAAATAGGTAATATTTTTCTTTGTTTTCAATTAGGAATGTTAATATAGAGGTCAATAACCCTTAATTCAATGAAATGATTCTAGATTCCAATGTTTACTTTCTATGGAATCATAATGTTTATTCAGTGTCATTAGTTCAGTGCCGTTTCTTGCAGCACATTTTTTAGTCTCCGGCTTTTAATTTTTTCAATATTATGAATGAAGATGCCTCGGCATACTTTCCATCAGTCAGGAAACGTCCCTTTGCTGGAGGATAGCTCATTCCTCCCGAAGAGCCCTTTCAAGGTTCTCCAGTGTATCAGGAAGTGTTGCAAGCGCTCTTATTCATCTTCCGAGGTTATCCCATAAATGCTCAACGGGGTTCAAATCTGGAGAACGTGCTGGCCAGGCTAAAAATTCAATATTGTTCTGTTGAAGGAACGTCTGCACTACGCAGGCGACATGTGGGTGTGCATTAGAATAGAACGATTGCCGATTTCGTTGAAGATAGGCAACACATGAGGTTCCAAAATCTCATCTACCTAGCAAATGGCCGTCAAAGACCCTCCACGAACAACAACCAATTCTGTGCTGCGCTCCATTGAAATCCCAGCCCACACCATTAAGGAACCACGTTGGAAAGGTTGGCTCTGGGAAATATTACAGGCTGCATATCTTTCGTTTCTTCTTCTCCACACCCTTTCATGCCCGTCTGGAGATTGAAGAGCGAATCTTGACTCATCTGTAAAAAGTACAGCACTCCATTCGTCCATAGTCCAATGGCTGTGTTCTCGAGCAAAAGTTAGCCGTGTTACTCTGTGAGTTATGGTCAACTCTGGTCCTCTTACTGGATGAAAAGCCATTAATCCATACTCATTTAATCTTCTCCGAGCGGTACGTTCCATATCTAATGGAACGTCCATCATCAATAAGTGCCACACCACGCGCATCATCCTCAGCACTAAGAGGCAGTTTTAAACATAATATTGAAAAAATTATAAGCCGGAGACTAAGAAATGTGCTGCAAGAAACGGCACTGAACTAATGATACTGAATAAACATTTTGATTCCATAAAAAATAAACATTGGAATCTAGAGTCATTTCATTGAATTAAGGATTAAGGTTTATTGTCCTCTATATTAACATTACTAATTGAAAACAAACAAAATGATTACCTATTTATTCATTAAAAACAATAGACCAAACCAAAGCAGAAATATTTTTAGATGAAAACATGAAAAAATCAAGTGGGTGGAATTTTTTGCCTGTCAGTGTATATTAAACGTATCCATGAAATATTTTTATATTTCAATTACTCTTTCACACAAATACAATGAAATAGTATCTTATACAATGTCATTGCCTTGAATCTGTCGGTTTTAAATACTTTCTCAAACTTTTAAAATTTTATATATAGTAAGAAAATTTCATTTAATATCCTTGAAAATACCTGATTTATGTTAAATAATGTTAGTTTTTAGAAATTATTATTAATATTTTTTTTGTCACTCACCGTTACCTTCTACAACTTTCTATATTAGATATTGTTTTGTCTAAAATTCTCCGCTTTCCAACGATATATTATACGTATGCCTTCTGACCATTATTTTTGGAGATTCATATCCGACCTGGATAAGCATTTCTATTTTTTTTTTCTTCTTTATTCAATTATCAAATTCTTTTAAAAGTTATATTTAGCATTTTTTCATAACTTTTAATAATGAGAGATAGTTAATTATTTAAAATAAACGATATTAAAGATACTTTACTTTAGAAGAAGACGCATGTGAACATTGGGTATTTAAATCCTGTAAAGTGACATCAACAGGGATAAGACCTAAATGATATTAAAGACCACTTAATTATACAATGATACACCGAGTTTAATCAAAATCGTTAGAGCCGTTTTTGAGAAAATTGTCAATGTGTGTTTTACCGTTAACATAAAGTGGCATTTCCAGTTATCCTATTTTAAGGAAAAAGTTGCTGTGACATCTAAGTCATATACTTATCTTAAATATGTAATATCAGTTTCGTACAACTTTTCCTTATTGAGCTAGTGTTCACATACACACAGATCATTTTTTGGGACATGGTTATTTGGACTCAGGGTACCTTAAAACATAAACTTCCATTGAAAACTCAAGACTCGAAAATTTTCACGAACGCAATACTTACCCTTACTATATATTACATATATAGGGGTAAGTGAAAGTAAAATTATACTATACTAGGATATTGAAAAATAAGATATAATTAATAAAACCATGATTATTCTAATTGTTTTATTTTTTAATACATTTGAGTTCAGTATTTCTTTGATTTTGGTAACAAAATTTCTTATTCTCATTTCCTTCAATACACTTTTCAATACTTATTTTCAAGTGTTGCTCCACTTTGAAGAGAGAGAGCAAAATTTCATGACCACGCAATAAATGGAATTCCAAGAATGGCCAATTGAGTCCAAAAATATACAGAAGTGACTGAACCATCTGGTAAGGTCCCGGCCTCAACTGAAAAGAAACTAAATAGGGATTCAGGTGAGAGTTAGCAGAAGTTGTAAAACCCAATCTCAATAAAGAGTAGTAATACCTGTGAATATAACAATGTTCTAACATTCTTGGAATCCCACTAATATTATGATCATGAGGTCTTGTAAAGTAGAACCCACTAGTCTTTAAAAATTTAATTTATTTTATAAAAGGATTCATAATAAAATTATCATTGATAAAATTATATTATAAAATGATTCATATCTTTCCTTCCTTGTTACAGCAAAGAAATTCTATAATAATAAGGGTTTCATTTCCTCTTGACCTGTGTCATAATGACTCAACTGTACCTATTTTAACTGTGGGTTGATGGCTGACTGTAGTGAATAATTGAAGAGAAGGATGGTTGGGGTGATCAGTCAAAATAAAATAGTAAAAATAAATAATTGTATGTATTTTTACATTCACCGACGTTTCGGCCCGAAGATAGGGCCTTGATCAGGGCTGAGAAAAGAACCAGATAACAATAGATGGTACTTATTTAATAGCGGGTAGCGCCAAAACCTACCTTCTTATCTAATCTCATTTCACACAACCTCCCTTATCTCATCTAATCTAAGTTATTCCCTTGTTTATTTTTTGTTTCTTGGGTTAGCTGTGAGTTAGTATTATTTAATTATGGATGTTGTCACATTGTGGGAATTGCCGTCTTCAGAAGAAGATGCTATAAAATATTTTCAAAACGCCGGGATATTTGCAAAGGTCAAATATAATGATAAAGGTCATCAAATGAAGTTCGATGGGAAGATTAAATGGAGATGCTTTCGTAGTTGTAACAAAACCGTTTCTATAAGGAAAGGAACGTGGTTAGAGGGGTCGAGGATTTCTTTTTTAACGGATTTAAAATTGGTGATTTTTTATTTAAAATTAAGTGTTGTTTTTTTTATTATTTCATCTATTTTTGTCTATTTTTATTATTTCATTTATTTTGATATATATGTTGATATGTTTTCGTAATGTTTTTTAATTATATATTTATAATGTTTTGGTCTATTTTAATATATATATATCTATATAATGTAAAATTAAAGTATTTTTTTATTATTACATTTGTTTTTGTTCACAATTTCAATAATATCAATACAATACAATAAATATGAATATGAATATATGATAATATGAATATAATACAATAAATATGAATACGAAGAGCTTATCAGTGTTTAGGTTATAAACATTGGCAGATAGCAGTCTGACGCTACCCACTATTAAATAAGTACCCAATAGGTATAAGAAAATATAAACATTGAATAATAAAGAATTAAAATTAAAAAGGTGAAAGATATAGATTAAAAAATTTAGGTAGAAAAACTTAAAGTAAAATGAAGTAGATAGAGTGAACATTAAAGTAAAACAAATTATGTAGAATATTAACAGTAACAAAGAACTAAGAAATATTAGTTATATACATACTTCTCTGTTTTATACTTTATTCTAAGATTACCATTTTCATTTCTTTTGTTACCTTATTTTTTATTATACTTATTTCATTGATCCGACCTTTGTTACCATTATTATTATTTATTTCTTAGTTCTCTGTAACTGTTATCATTCTACTTACTTTGTTTTACTTTAATGTTCACTCTATCTACTTTATTTTATGTTAAGTTTTTCTACCTAAATTTTTTAATCTATATCTTTCACCTTTTTAATTTTAATTCTTTGTTATTCAATGTTTATAGTTTCTTATAACTATAGTTATCTGGTTCTTTTCTCAGTTCTGAAACTCAGGCAGAAATGTCGGCGAATGTAAAAATAAATATAATTATTTATTTTGACTGATCACCCCAACCATCCTGTACCACCTATTTAAGTTGATTATGTAAATGTTCACAACATCGTTCTGAAGACATGTTGGGGTTGTAGGTTACACCAAACGCTCCAATTATGAGAATTTTCATGGATAAAATATTTGTAGTTCACGACAAAAGGAAGCCACTCACAAAACTTTAAGCGGATGTTAATAATTTTATGAAAAGGGGTCTGTATCACGGACTATAATGTTATATTGTCTGATTAGATCAGTTTTATTGACTTTGAAAAACACAAATTAAAAAAAAAAATGTATGGAATAAAGGAGCCCCCTTTAAATAGATAATTAGGGCCGCTTTTGGGAAAAAAATAGGATTTGACTGTCCACTTTGCTATGGTTTGAGGAATAATCAGGAATGAAATCAAGTTGCAATCAAGGGACATTCTGGAATAGAATAAAATAATGCACAAGATCGATTTTGGAAATTTATTTAACTTAATTTCACTCCACTTGTTTTAATATTTATGTATGTTTGTTTTAGAAAAAAAATAATTGCACAAACGAAATGAACTCATAGGGTGTTTATACATACAAAAAAAAATCTATTAGGGTTAACTTTGGAAATAAGCAACTCAAATTAAATTAAAATGTATATCCAGCTGTGTCACAAATATAGTTTTATTAAAATATAATGAACAAGCAATACCTGTAACTATACTGTTGTTTCTTGCCAATAATGAATGTACACTTTCAGTAACAGATTCTGGAGACTTCTCAGATTCGTTAACACAGCCTAAGAAGAAAATAAATAAATTACCATTTTTTGTCTGTTTAATACTGATATCTATTATATATATATATATATATATATATATATATATATATATATATATATATATATATTTATAGAAGTGATAGTTTTATTATTTGGCAGACAAAGAAGGTGCAACAAAATGTTTTGTTGGAACTATTGATAATAACAGAGCTTAAATTAATAATTGGATAGTCCCGGAATTTACGAATAAAAAATAAATTATTTATTTATTATTAAAATCACATATAGAATTATTTTTGTAACAACAATAAAAGCTTTATAACCAAGTTAAATGTCTTTTATTGTCATAACTCACCTCAGATCTGATGAAATAATAAAACTAATTTTAAGTGTTTTACTAATGTTGGTGACACGAGCAGAAAAGTAATTGTTAATGAGTATAAGGTAAAAAACAAATTTTAGTTAGAAGCTAGGATAGTTTCATAATAAAAATAGTTTTTAAAACACTGTGACATCCATTAAACTTTCCCTCTTTCAATAAAAAAAAAAATATATTAATACTTACCAATTTCAGAATTTGAAAGAATGTCATTTGAAATCATCCCTTGTGGTTCCTGAATAGAGTTGGAGTTGCAATTTGAGAATGAATTGTTAAAATCAGATCTAGAAAAACAACAATGCAAATAGATTAATAGGTCATGTAACTTAATGTATCACATATATAATAATATTGGGTTGGCAAATAAGTCCTTTCGGTTTTGATGTTTATTTTTATGTTATTATGATAAACTTCTTAACAGATGAATTAATCCAAATAGGATTGTTTATCCTATTTGTAATATGTCAAAAACTATATCTGTTAACTCTTGTTGAAACTAGCTTAGTATTGTGTTTGCTATTGCACTGTGAATATGGAAGAAAATATTCATTATTGGCATATTTTGTTGTATTATTTTAAAAAAAGGTAAGCATGGCGCCGAAGCTTATAGAAAAATTTGCATTTATGGGAATGATGTCTCAACCGAACGCACCTGCCAAAATTAGTTTGCCAAATTTCATTCAGGAAATTTTGACATCAATAATGCTCAAAGGAGTGGTCACCCACATGAAATTGGGAGCAATTTTAAGGTCTTTGTTGATCAAAATCCCACCCCATCTCAGTGCGAGAGATTGCTATGGCCCTAAACATGTCACACACAAACATACAAATCCATTTGCACAAGCTCGGCTATGTTTCCAGGCTCAATGTTTGGATCCTTCACTCTCTAACCGAATTCAACTTGGCCACACACCTTTCTGTTTGTGATTCACTATGGAAATGGCAGCAAGACAATCCATTTTTGAAAAGGTTGTAACAGGAGATGAAAAATAGATATTTTACAATACAAGAGTGTCAAAACCCGGATTCCATCCAAAGAAGATAATGCTTTCCATATGGTGGGATGTCAAGAGTGTTATTTTCTATAAGCTATTGCCATCAGGACAAACAATTGATTAAACTCCATACTGCTCACAATTGACAAAATTAGATCAATCAATTAAACATAAACACCCAGAACTGGCAAATTGGAAGGGTGTTGTGTTCCACCAAGACAAAGCTAGACCCCACACCTCATTGGTCACTTGTAATAAATTATTGAGCCTTGGATGGGACCTTTTGCCTCACCCTCCCTATTCACCAGACCTAGCTTCAAGTGACTACCACTTATTCCAGTCTATGCAGAACTCCATGAATGGAAATAATTCCAAATGAAAGAAAACATAAAAAACACTTGGATCAGTTTTTAATAATAAACTCCAGACATTCTGTGAGCCTTATGCAGTTAGTGGAAAGATGAGAAAAAGTCATATTAAATAATGGTCAATATATTGTAGATTAAAATAAATTTTATGTCTTTAATATATTGAGTTTTATTTCACCCTGAAAAACCGTAAGGACTTATTTGCCAACCCAATAGGTTATAGAAGGATAATACAAAAGAAATCACAGAAATCATTAGCAAAAATAAATCACTACACTATAAAAAAAAAAGTTGGTCATATTTATGGCGTGCATCACACAATTTTCAGAGGAAATATATATTGTCGGTTCATTGCAAAAAGTCAATAATCACATTTTTTATATAGATTAACTTTTAAGTATACTAAATGCCTTCACTTTTTTTTTACTATCTATAATTATCTTTGTATTGGCCACAAGTAGAAGGTGGTCACTGCCTATCTCTGCTCCTCTCACGATCTTTACATCAGCGAAATAATGTCTAATGTGGCGGTCATATATAAAATAGTCAATTATACTATTTCACTCCAGGCACTAGAAAGTAATTTTATGAATTCTTTTGTGTGGATAGAATGAATTTCCTATGAGGAGGTTATTATCAACACAAAAGTTTATTAGCAGCTGCCCATTATTATTTTGTTCATTGGCAAAACCTTTTAGATTATTATGAACAATTTAAATAATAATATATGATTTAATTAATACTGATTGGAAGATGATGTATATATGCGGCATTCAAGTTTATAAGATCATTAGGCTCAAACAAAAATAGCTAAAAAATAAAAGAAACATATTGTTTAAAGCTCAATAATACTAACTTCAATAAATAACAACATTTAAATGCATAAAATGAAAGTGAAAATAAACAATGTTGATAAAGTACCTTGTTTGCTTGACTTCATTATTATTATTTTCTGCTGATTTATCAACATAAGTTGAATCAAGAAGAATCTTAGCATCCTAAAATAAATAAATGAATACAATTATAGCTATTCATCGTTTACCATAAATAGAATTTATTTGTTCAGACTACTAACATAGAAAAATACATCATTGGTGCCTAGCGCCCATTTTTTAGATACTTCAAAACAGCAGATTTCACATTCTGAGGAAAAATATCTTAAGTTAATTCATTCTATCAATTTCAAAAAACTGTATGGTTGTTTAAACTAATACATTACTTTAAAAAACTTCATTTCTTTTAATGTTTTGAATAAAACCATACTTCAAGCAGGTTGGGCCGCACTTGTTTTCCAGTAATGGATGTTTTGAGTTTAGTTGTTAAGACTGTTTTGTGTTCTTCAATGTTCTGAATATAAAATCTGGCATTTTGAAATATCAATTTCCTTTTACCAGAGAATGGCAGTCTATTTCTCAAGATTGACAAAGTTTTGAGTCAAAACAATAGTTTTGAATTACAAAATAAATGAAAGTCGAAATAACTAATCCCATTTTTTTAAACGTGTTTCTCATGTTTATCATTTGCCCTCCAAATAGATTTAGTTTAATCAGACAATGAAGAAATGACTTCTTTTTACCTCACAAGAAAGAAGTAGTGTTAAGCATTGAAAAGTGGAACTATTTTCAATAAACTATATTTCAGAGAGTACATACAGAGTAATTTAGAATAATGTACAAGTAGTCTCGTAAAATTATCCCAAAAAAGGAGCCTCCCCTACAGAAGATTGAGTAAATCAAGTTTTTTTTTTTTTTATATTGTTAAATGTATGGTGAATAAAACAAAATCTGAGTTTGTCAAAATTGAAGGACTTGTGGGTTTGCCATAGTGCTTCCAAAACTCTTCAAATTTCAGACTTTTTTTTTTGTTCATACTTAAATATTTATTTTTTAAAGCAATATAGCTAAAAATGTATTTTAGTCAATCTCAAATAGCTCAAAATCTGCCAAATTTTTTTATAAACCCAGTAAGAACCTAGCTACTGAGTTTTCATGTTGGGCAAATATTCAAAAATTTGCAAAAACATGCATACATATTACAATCCTAATGGTAATCTCTAATCTATACGTTAAATAAATTGTCACTTTTGAAGAAAATTGGATATGAAGAAACCAAAAGATTAAGAAACAATGCCAATGCCTTAACTGAAATTAGTTTGCTTCATCAGAAAAAAATTTAGAACTGGTGACAGTTAAAGAAATGCCATTTAGTAAGGCTCAATTTTAAGTAAGGTAAGGCTTTTTCTTTGACTCGCTTGGCTCCACTAAAGTGATATCAGAGTTGGTGAAAGGAGTAAATGTCCAAGTCTTACACAGGTCTTAGCCGGCCTTGAATGGAACCTGATCACAGAATATACCTGTTACTTTTGAGAATTTCTATTGCAACACACAATTTAAAAATTCACTGTGAATAAAGTAGAAACAGTTCACTATGTAGGCTACCACAACTGGATGAATATTGAGTTTTAAACACAAAAATTGTGGCTACAGCCCCATTCACCGCCGTACTAGGCTGACGAGTAAGTTACTTTTTGAACAGCCCTTCTACTTTAGCACAATTTGCTGATATAGAAAATATACCAATGAAATATTATTACAACAAAGGTTTAACTTACATTTAATAATTCCAAATTGGTAGAGGAAATATTAATAACATCCTCATTAATCCGAACAGAATACTTATATTCAGTTGCAGATAGACAAACAGGTTTTCCTACAGAAACTGTAATGAAAAAAATACAGACACAATTTTACAAAAACAACAAATAAAATAATATATAAAGTTGAATATTACATATAGAGTGATCTATTAAGTATAACTAAAATAAATTAATGTTTTCAGTACATTGTAATTGACATTTTTTTTATTGTAGGAGAAATAAGAGGAAACTATGGAATGTATTGCCGCTCGGTGATCAAGTTTCTTCTAAATGCAGATGATATTATTCTGATTGCAGACCCTGCAAAGATTTTGCAGCAGAGAGAGATGGAACGGTACAAAGAGCTCCGTAGAAAAGGAAAGCTTATCAGTACTGGCAAAGGAAGATCCTTTGGGCAGAAAGTGTAAAAGAAAATGTTCAGGTGTACTGTAACAGAGAATAAATAGAAGTAATCGTGGAATTTATATACCTCGGAACAGTTATGAAACGGTCTGGAAGTTTCAAATGGTCTAGGATGTGGATTCAGAAATCCTTAACAGGATAAGTAAGGCAAACTCAGTCTACTACCAGAATATTGTTATTGTTATGTGAAATATTGTTATTGGAAATCCAGAAGTAGAACATAAAAACATGAAACTCCACATCTTCAGGGTACTTGCTTATACACTCCTAACTGCAGCTAATAGATGTATATTGACTAATAGGAGAGCAAAATGGCAACTGCAGAAATGAGGTTGCAATGAAGGATTTGGAGAGAACAAGAGACTGTATCGGCAACAAGAGGATCGGAGAGAAACCAGGAGTCCTGTCAGTGAAGGATTATATTTTAATGCAACATAGATTTAAGATCTCCAATGTACCATTTTCAAAATAATCCACAGATCCAAAATAACTTTAGTGATTGTCTCCTAGAGGCCACAGTTGCCATGGGGTACTCATTACGTACCATAGTTTTCAAAAATTAAAATATCACTATTTATTATTAGTTGTTAATATTTCATTCTTAATAAATAGAAAAACTGCATACCAAGAATAACCTAAAAAGTCTGAGCGAATACAATACTGGGTTAGTATGAGTTTATGGATAGTTGAGTCTTATTGCTCAACTGATAAACTTAGGGACATTATACGATTGGTCAAGCTAATTACTTATTAAGCAAACTGATCCTACATTATAAAGTAGGTAGCTTCACCAATTATGTAATATATATTTTCTTGATAATACTGTTTTGTTCATAGGAATACATGTATAATAGCAAGTTACAATACAATTATAAAATACAATACAATTAGGTATTTTCAAAAATTTTAAAAATCTATTAAATCTGCTGGATTGTATTGAGTATTATGCAACATTGAATTTAATTAATCACCAAAATATGAATAATATTAATGTTGATCGTATTAAGATAGAAATAAAATAAAACAATAATCAATATACAATGTATCACAAAAAAAAAATTAATTAATGAAAGAAAAAACAACAACCAAATGTGAAAAATGTTAGATAAGCTAAATCCTGTTTTGTAAACAGTGAAGCTTTCCACAATTTTCTCTTATTTCTCCTCTAGAAAAAAAAAAAATCAATTACATTTAATTTCTATGTATGTTTGACATACACTAATTTCTTTTTGCTATACTTAAACATAAAACTGAATACACTGATTTCTCTCTTGTTCTCCACCAAAACTCCTCTTCCAATCTTTTTTATTTCTCTAGTCCCCCCTCATTCCTCCCACTGTGAATTTAAACAAATATGTCTGACGGATTTCAACTGTTTTTATTTCAAACCTAAATTGTTTCTTCATTAAATTAATAGACAATTATTGCTAGATTATACAAAAAGCAATTTGAATTTTAAATGCCAAAAATAATATAAAAGCTACCATAAATTTTCATTATATCCAATACCATATTATATTCCTCCGATTCGTAATTAACTGAATGACTAGATTAAAGACAATTTTGTTTAAAATAAATTTATATTCATATGATAAATTTGGGAATTTTCGAATTAAATGCAGTAGTCAAATTATGATTTTTTTTTTTAAATTATAGAATTATAATATAATAAAAATTATATAAATGTTTTCCAAATATTGCTTTTAGTCCAGTCAAATTTACCAAAAATGTCTTAAATAAAAGAAAAAAAAATTAAACATGTATTCTTTCACATATCCTGTATAACATACTAAAAGTTTCTCCTTACTTTTTAAAGGGAAGCAATAACTAAAAATATACATCATTTAGACAATTTCCATTTTCTGCATAGTCAATTAGACAAAATTTCCTTTAAATCCAAGTAGAATTTGTAAAACTGCTTTAATGCTTTTAAGAAGCTAAGTTTTATTTTTAATGGATTATTTCTTATTTTTCTATCAGCTTTCTACTCTACTATAGATTTCTCACTTTTGTAATGACTTGCTCGTTTAATAAGCTTTATGCCCGTATTAATCATGTTGAGGTTTGTCTCAGAATAAGTGGAAATTCGATGAAAGTTTTGTAAACAAAATTGTGTGATATGAAATTTGGTCTCCTCAAATCACCTATGTTTTCAGCAGGAATAATTACTATTAAGAGTGCTCACATAGTGGAGGAACGATAAAAGCGACAATATTAGCGAAGAAAACAAACACATACATTTCTACAGAACCCCGCATAGTGGAGCGACGAGCAATGCGACTAAGAGCACTGCTAAAATGTATAAAAGTGACCATATGCATTTCTATAAAACATCGCATAGTGGAGCGACGAGCAGAGCGACTATGAGCACTACTTCTAGGGATAAGAGCGAATAAATCAAACATGCTTGATTTTGTCGCTATGATCGCTGGGTGATTTTCCCCAAAATTGACTTTTATCTGCTTATTACTGAAGTGTTTGATCACTACTGCAAACGTTTAAACTGTTGCAACGATGAAAGAAAAAATGATTCAAAATTTTAATCTTTAAACTATATTATTTCTCAAAGGTCTATTTTGTCGCTACGTCATATCTTTGTCAATCCTTCATAATATCCAATGATTGACTACTCGTTTTTAAAAATCTTCTCCATCAGGAAAAAATAGTCATATCCCTCCGAAATTTCAGGAAAAAGATTATGAAGGAAAATAAACTATTTGCAAATAACTCATACATTTTTTTTTTTTTTTTTTTTTTACTCATGATTGAATTGAAAGACTACTTGATAACCCAAAAATCAAAATTATTATCTGAGATACATGTAAATGTAATTTGATAAATGATGAACGTAGATAAATGTAATTTGTAAACATTTTAGTTTAAAACATTAACAAAGTTTCATATTAATTTTCTTTTCCATCGTCAATTAAAATTATCACAAAAATAGGAAATGATTGTTTCATTTCATAATACGTTGAATTATTTAATTTCCTTATTATTTTGTCATTTGTTCATTGACCAATATTCTTTGCAAATTATTTGCATGGGCCAACTAGTTTATAATTATTTCTATTTGAAATTAACAAAAAAATTAAGAAACTCAAATAAATTTATGTTTCAATTTTTATGAGTTGTTACAAAGTGAATGTAATACAGGATTTTTTTATTGTGCCTTTCTATTTAGGGTTTTTACTTCATCACTATTTTTTTAAATATTATTTTTCTATTCTTTCCTTCCTTTCTTTTTTAATTTATAAATTATAAAAACATCGGGAATTGATGTTCATGATGTTTTGTGCCCTAAAGCCTTATGTAAGAAACAACGTTGATACAACATATAAAGGGCTTTAGAAAAAAAGTTAATTCAAATAAAAAATTAATTAAATAATAAATTCAAAAATTTGTTCTAATAGACTGATGGTTTTTCTTTAATTGAAGAGATATAATAACTATTGATTTGATTATTAGGATATTATTTATGAAAGAAGAATTTATACAAGTTTCTTTTCATTTTTTTCAAATACAAATTACATAAATATACAATGCAGGCCTTAAAATCAAGTCAGTTTTCAGTCCTTCATGCCCCCCATCAAAACCCGACATGTGATTTTTTACTAGTAATTATGGAAAGGTAATAAACAATTTCTTACAAGTTTCATCTTTTTTTTAATTTTTTTTAATGTTAGGGTCGAATCCTAATTGTACCATAATAATAATCTTTTTAATCAATTAGAGATAAATTTCAACTTACTCTGTAACAAACCTCAACTTAATTAATGCAGGCTTAAAGCTCATCAAATAAGGAAGTTTTTTCTAAAAATGTATTATTTTTAGTCCAGTTGGGCGATTATAAAAAACCCTCGAAGAATCCTTGAATTTATAAAAAATTTAACCGTAATTTAACTCCTTTAAAGTCCCCATTAAATGATTTTCAAAAAGACAAAATTGACTTGCATTTAATATAAATTTTATCTAGTTATCTATGAAGGTAGTGACCTAATTAAATTTTTTTATTACTTTTAATTAAATAAAAAACGTGATTAACTTCAAAAATACAAAATTAAAGATTTCAGGTTTATTGTATGAAATCACTCCATGGTTTATAGTTGTTTTTTTTTATAGGTTTCAAGGTCTGCTATCACATAGTATCAAAGATATGAAATCAAAGTCAATCTAAACTTGATATCAATATCAGGATATTCCCAACTGATGGATATCGAATACAATTTTCTTGTCAATGACTTTTTTGAATCATCAAAACAAAGAAACTTTTAATAATAATTTGAACTACCAAAAATGTCATCAAAATGAATTTAACTTCAAAATGGTATCATTTATTATAAATAATATCAATTTTATGATTTACAGCATTTTTACTTAATGTGGAAATACAATAAATATAATCTCATAAATACCTCCCTAACCATTGATTTTATCAAAAAATGTATAGGGTCATTTTTTGGACAGATTTTAAAGCACTTTAATATTGCACTGAACAATCTTTAAGAATAACCTCATAGTTTTGGAGATATCCCCAAAATATCATAAAAATATCCGCAAACATATGTGGTCACCTTTATAGTCGCTCTGCTCGTCGCTCAACTATGCGGGGTGTTCTATTGAAATGCATGAGTTTGTTTTCGTCGCTCCACTATGTGGTTACCCTAAGTATTAAAAACAATTCATTTCTGAAAAAAAATCCAGCTTTTTCAAAAAAATAAATATTTAAAAATTAACACATAAAGTGACTGAGTAATTGCCAAAGTTATCCTACATTTAGTAGGAATGTCGATCAACCTGCTGGTAATGCCAATAGCAGTACTATTAACAGCAGCTAAATCTTCATCAAGTCTGGAACAGCAGAAACAGATTTTTTAAAAGTTTCCATAGACCATATCTCTTTAACTATAGTCAATCAGGAAAAAAATTAATAGGATCTTAGTGAAGAAAATTCACTCTATCTTAATTTGTTATATGGTGTTGTTTTAGCTAAACTCAATGAGTTGTTTAAGAAAATGTGTAGAAAATTGTCTTGAATAATAAAATTATCTTGAAATGAACCTCCCTCTTGCGCTTGACCCCCAACACCGGGAAATTTTAATATGTTTTACAGGATTCCTGAATGAGCATGTCATTTCAAAACTTCAGAGTTTTTTTCTTTTGTTTTGGCTAAATTGACTCGACCATTTTATTTTTAATCTATTAGTGAGAAAAAGGATATATATCTGATATCAAAGTTCTCTCTTGGGTAAATTCTAGTTACATATGTTTTAATTTGATTATTTAATGTTTTCATTTGGCATTCTTTTGTGTTCATTATTAATGTTAGAACAAATGTGAGGATTGCAATATTACTGTTGATTCATAAAACAAATAATTTCCAAAAACTACTTACGATTCAAGAGATTAATTTGAAATTAAAATTTGCTGAGTACTTTATATTATTCATTTGAATTTGTACTAAATTACTTAATAATTAATCTAGAAACTAAAAATCTAACTTCTGACTGGAAACATTGAAGATACCTAGCAACTATTTTAAAATTATAGTCCCCACTTATTGATGTTTAGTCAGTGGAAAACAAAAAATGAAATCAGATGAATCTGCAAAACAGTTTAATTATTTAGATGGGATTATAAAAATTAAAATTAAGTTACAAATGTATAAACTGATTACATATTGGAACACAAAACTGAAACAAATACAAACATCAGAAGATACATAAACAATAACATTTTACACTCAACTAAAAATTGACATATACATGATGAGCTGACAGACTGAAAGATGTAGACTAATAAAAGCTGAACTTAAAAAGTAAAAACTTAGTGGCATATTGTGGGAAAAGGACAAGGAAATTGTAGAGAAGCTGATGCATGGTTAGTCAAAAACTAAAACCCAAAGTAAACTAATTCTCCTAAAGCTCCCTTGTTCCGTTTTAAAACTGATGAAGATAAATTATAGAAAAAATAAAAAAACATCACCTAGTCTGCATTGGTACATACCACCAGACATCAGATAAAAAATGACTTGCACATATTTCAGAACTACACAAATTTTCGACAGAAAAACTGCACATTATGTAAAACATTTCAATAAATCAAATTAGCTTAACAAATAGTTTAATCGGCTACTTCAGACACATACTCTTCAACATGACACTATTTGGTAAACCCCAAGCACATTTAATAACAACATACTATACTAAAATCAGGAACTTGGCCTGAAATACAATATAAATTACCTAAAGGATTCAAGATTGATTATATTAAATTCATCGACAAACTAGGCTTCAACAAGAAGATTGATAGAAGAGCAGATCAGTAAACTTAGTTTCAAACTTGTTGTAGGTACCTACACGAAAACAAAAGATCTAATTTAATCAAGACCATAGGGTCAATCCACAACCAATCAACTGATAAAAAAAATAATGCTGGACTCTGGAATCTGGAAAAACTTGCATCATTCTATTCAGAATTAGAAATTTTTCTATTTAATACATTACCTAAATTATTGTAAATTTCTAACTTAAATTTAATTATTAAATTATTCTATTCAGAATTACAAAATCTGCAATTGAATAAGCTACCTAAATATATTAGATTAATTAAAAAGAATAATGCGAAATTGAAATGTGAAACAATAAATCAAAAGAAGTAAATTTTAATAATGTGAAAAAAATGTTCACCCATTTCAAGAATTAAAAATGTAATATTCTAATAATATAACATAAATTAATTGTATGTAACCAATATTAAAATAAAATAAATTGAAATCTAAGATATAGAAATAGAAATTGTTGTGTTTTTTACTCCAGTAAAGAGAAGAAAAAAATACTCTGAATACCTGTTGGTCCAAGCAGTCTACTACTCTCATCAGAAGCACTACTATTGATGCTTGAGTTAGAACCACCAACTTCTCTAGTTCCAACTATATTAACTTCTCGTACTGGGGAAGCATTCCGTTTGATAGTATCTTCTATCAGTTGTCTCGCCATCCTGTGCCAAATTATTTTTTTTATTAAGAAAATATCTATCATAATAGTAACAATTTTGGTAGCTTAAATTTCAGTTTTTAATAACTTGTTTGCTGTTTCTATTTAACTACTGGCATCATTTTTAATGATATAGTGAGAAGATTAATAATTAACATCAAAGAAGTAAAATAGCTCAAAGCTCTTTGCTTAAAATATTTTCATAGGTTTAGATGTTGGTAAAGGCTTTGAATCAACACGATATGATATTGCTACTGTTAGTGCAAAAGATCATAAATAAAAATTGACTGTTGTACAGGAAAGCATAAAAAACTGATTATTTCTTTATGATTTATTAGTAATATATAATTTCATATTTTATTTCCCTCTGCAATTTTCCACCATAGCAGACTGCTTATAGCAATTGGAGATTACAAAATCTCACGTTTAGCACAAACAGAATAAAAATTGAAAATGTTTACATACAGCTTTTCCCACTAGCAGTAGCAATATAAAGCACCACTAAATATTTGTCTTCTTTCTTTTAACATCTATTTAATGAACACATTGTCTCAATAAATCAAAATATCTGAAAGTAAACATCTATTAATCAAACAATTGTTGTTAAAACTTGAATGATCATGATGATAATCATAATAATTCCTCTTCTATCACTGTGATCACTATATAGTGTGAGGTGTCTTTCTGTACAACCTGGATCAAACTGTAGAATCCTCAATCAGTTCTCTTTTCCTCTTCCACTTCAGACCTCTTTGGAAAGCATAATCCTTATTCCTAGTGTCCGAGTCTTCCTCCAGTTAATCTTTGTTTCATGTATCATCCAAGTAAGACAATTATTGTCATTTTTTAAAGACAAAATTGTTTGCTGATTAGACAGCAAGATTTTATTTTTTTAAGATTTTAGGCAAAATCTTATTTTATCAGAAATTTATATTTTTTAAGTATTAAAGCCGTAATTTTATCTTTCTAATGAACTTTTTGAGTTGATTATGTCCTTTGCAATCTTAATCTTCTATTAATTTTAGGAATATTGAGTGATAACTCCTTGATATATTTCCTCCTCTCTTCGTTAAAACGCAACACACAATATCGATGTAGTGAGTTCTCCACTTTGTCACATATATCACGAATTGGTGCCACTTTCATTTCTATCAAGTTTAATTAAATTTTTTACCTCACATTTCTCCAAACATATTCCAATAGAGGCAAACCAAGGCCTTAAAGAGATTTTTGGATGGATTAAATAGTAGTCTTTCCCTTGCCTTTGAGACTCCCAGTCATATAAATTCTGCCATTTGTTGACAAGTGCCTTACTAAGTGAGTGGAGAATGTCTGTTTGGGGACTTTAGAATTAATTCTTATTGCATTAGTAGTATCTCGAGCAATTTGATCTGCACTTTCATTTCTGTGTAGATCCATATGTCCTGATACCCACTGAAATGAACATTTATTGCTGGATGTGGAAATAAAGTCAAGAATTTTATACAGAATGTAAATTAGCAATTGTTGACACCAAGGTTTAATCTTATAGTTGTGTTACAGATTTAGTCTTGTCTGGTTTTCCTTCTATCTTTCAAAGAAATCTCATTTCAAATACTTATAATTTGTTTCTATGCCTTGTGCTTGTTGACCATGATTCAGAGAAGTAATTGTTGATAAGACCTGGCAAATTTGTGTTTATGCTGACGACCTGGTGATTGCTGAACAAAGTGAAAGGCACTTGAAATAATATACGAAAATGGCAACAAATTTAGGGCTTGTGGTCAGTAAAAATAATACTAAATACTTAACACTGTCCTCGGCAGCAAGTAGAAGATCCTCCAGCAAAATCAAAATAAGGAATTTTAGGTTTGAAAATGTACCCACATTGGTGTATCTCGGTTTTGCCCATAATAAGGAAAATTTAATCAGCAGAGAAATGAACAACAGAATAATGCCTGGTAATAGAGCCAACCATGCAAACCTTAAACTTGTCAAATCTCAATTGTAATCAAAAGCTACAAAATTAAAGCTGTATAAAACGCTTATTAGAACACTAGTCACATATGCAGCAGAAACCTGGTGTTTGTTGTAAGAGGATTGCCGTAAACTAAAAGTATTTGAAAGGAAAATAAGAAAGATTTACGGTACTACAAGAGTTAATGGTGAGTGGAAAATCAAAAGAAACAATGAAATCAAGATTATATTAGAAAATCACAACATTATAAACTATAACAAGGCAAGTAGGTTGAGATGAGCAGGACATGTGATCAGAATGGAGAATGAACGGGTACAGAAGAAAATATTGAAAGCACATTTCAGTGGGAAGAGGAAAAGAGGAAGACCAAGAAAGTTACTCTTATTGTCAAGAGTTCGTAATTGGAAGAGAGGAGCACAGGACAGAGAGAAGTGAAGAATAACTCAGAAGGCCAAGGGTCATGCTGATCTGTAGGATCAAGGAGTTAGTTAATTTAGTATTGTGAGAAACAGATTTGTAAACCTTCAATTTGGTGTCCTTGGAGACTTCTATTTTGTTCAAAAAATTTTGAATCACAGCTTACAACATTTTTCCATCTCTCTTAGAGTTTAATATCGACGATTCCATTCTCATCCAAATAGGCTCTAAGGCATTTAAAACTTTTAATCTGTTTGATGGTTTCATCCTTCAATTATATTATTCTCACTTCCTGTCGAGGTAAACTTCAGATTCTCATCCTCTTTGTTTTTTCATGTTTCATTCCCATTATTCATTTTTTTAGACTCTAATAGGAGAATCTAATATTATGAAGTCTCTGTTGTTATTGGCAAGGACTAGTATATCAACTATAAAGCCTTTTTTTTTTTAAAGTCTTTTTAGTTGAGAGTTTCATAATTGACCAAACTTATTCTCAGACTTATCCAATACTGGGGCAAATTATATGCTGAGGATGGAAACAAATTATTCCCAAAGGGTAAAAATAAAAATAACTAAGAATAACACTATAAATTAAGAATGGTTGTTTATTAAATTGGACCTATAGGCAGGAGATTTATTATTATGAAATAATCATATGTTTTTTTTTGGTGGTTATCAAAACCACAAATCCCAAACTTTTCTGCACCATTACGATAATTGTTATTATGATAATCTACTTGTTTACTAGATTTGTTTTACATTATTTAGAAACCCAGTTTTAATAAATCATTATTTAAGTCATAGAAAGAGACATGTTTTACTGAAAAAAAAAACAACACTTTTGATACAATATATAGGCACTAATATTGAATTAATATAATAATAAAAGTTTATTTGATTACACATAGATATAGAAAAGGTAATATAGTAAGTAAAAAGTTTCTTACATTATTTTCGTTTCGTTCGGTCCAGTAATTTGTACAAGTCGCTCCTTTGCACCTGGATTGACTATAGAAAAAACAAACTAGTGTATTAGTAAAGAATAGTAGTTTTGTTTTTTTATTTAACGTTAAATAAATTGGAATATTTTTACAAGTAAATTTGAGAATATTAAATTAAAGTAATCAATACTATTTAAAACTCCAAGATAAATTAAAAATTACATCAATTTTATAAATAATAATAAACCAGTATATAAATAAAACTATTTACATTATTATTAAGCATAATTATTACAAGACTGTCTTTACTTCTCCTTCCATTGTAGTAATACTTCCCAAAAACTTTTATCATTTTGAATATCAAATAAATTTTAAGAGAAAAATTGTATTACTATATGCAATAACAAGTATAGGAGACGTGAATGTAATGACCGAGAATATCAGTGTCCATTTCAGAAGAGTGTGAGTTTAATTCATCCCTTCATCTGTTAAATAAATATTTTTATTTTTCAGCAGTCCTGAGAAATGAATCTTGACAATTCTACTCTGACTAGTAAGTGGTAACAACTAGAAGTTGGCCAAAAAGATTCCAAGGCTCACTTCTTGGATTTGATTCTCAAACCAATACCAGTATATACCACCAAGTTGAGGGAGACCTAACCTCATAATTCCACCAACAACTAATTTGTAATAAGTCCAAATCAACGGCTTATTGTCAATAGTGAAATTTACAATGTTTTAACCATAGAATGATTTTATATTTATATTTTATTTCTATGTACATTTTACTTCTTCCATTTTTATTTTTATTCACATTGTACTCTTATCTATAATCTCTTAATTCTATTTTATGTGTCTATGTATATATTTATAATTTAATATTTCATAGATATAGTATTTTTTTTCCCTTGTATCCTTCCATACCTTTAAATTTTAGAAACTGTAATTTTCTAGGTTTTCCCCCATTACCAAACAAGTCAGCAAAGTCCCCAATACCTGCACTTACCCTGATTTTCCAGTTCTAAGTGAAACTCCTAGCTGAACATACCTGTAAGTTTCTATTTTTATTCTTCTAATTTTATTTACTTATTTATTTTTTGGTTTTATTTTATTTTTTTCTCCACATTCCTTTGTCTATTATTTCATATTATATCCTTTTCTTTCAATCTCTCCTGTAGATCTGTAGAAGTATATTCACATTTGTATATATTATATATTACACTACAACAATAGTTAACATCTATTTACTTCAGTTTAGGATCTTGTTACTTAACATTCTCTATTTATATTTTGGTAAATTAATTGGTAAATTAAAATGAGGAACTAGTTATTTCTCACACACACTCCACATATTAAGTTAACATATCATTGTTATTATGAATATTTATTCAGTATCAAAAGCAATTAAGAGTTATGAACATTTTTAGCCTTTTAAGTATTTATTCTCTCTCTCTGAATGTTGAAAAACGTCAATGAAACTAATTAATTAGCTATAATATATTGGCAGCCAAGGAAAAACAAACATTTCATTAATATAAATCCAGGAAGCACAGGTATTAAGGGGAAATCTATATAGCATAAGATGAACATCAATAATTAATCTGATTAATAGATTTATCACTTCTTGTTGAAGTTATTTTCATAGTTCTATCATTAAATATACTTAAAAAAATAACACATGCTAGAATTAATTAAAAACTGCATTATGGCGAAGGTTAAAAGCACGCATAAAAGATTCTTTTTTTAATTTAATGGGCATGTTAAAAGTAACAAAGCAGCTAACATTCAATCAAATATTAGATCATTGTGGACTATTTATTAATGCTTGTGGATTTACAGGCTACGAACGTTTTACCTCTCTGAAAGGAGATGACAGTTTCACTTAGTTCTTCAATCATGTGAACTCTTCTGCCTTTGATTCCCATCACTATTACACACAATATATATTACAAGGCCAAATAATACTATGGTGATATAAAAATGGAGTAGTGAGTTTTTCATTAAAAAAAAGTTTTAAGTTGTGCCTATAATATTCTCAGCGTGATATGATGGACTAATTAACCAAAATACAGAGTAGCTCGTAACTGAATATATCTTTAAAAACGCTGTAGAGAAAATATATCGAAGATGTAGAGAATGTCACACTACTTTTCTTACCATATTCAGGAAAAATGCTTAATTTTTATTTTTATTAAAAAATATTTAATTATTGTTATAATAACAATCTCAACAATCTCAAATTCTTTCGTACATGTAGAATATATGAACTATCAAAAACATAAAGAAAAAAAAAACAGAAAATATATCAGCTTTGCTTTAAAACATATACAAATCTTTCAAAACACCATATCTCTGCACAAAGAAATCTGATTTATTTTTTTTAATTTTTAGGTGCTTTTGTAATCTTTCGAATAAGCAAACATATAATCAACAAAAAAGTGCATATTACTTAAGAAGTAAGAAAATAATATTCTGTATTCATTGTAACTTTTTTACATCTTCTTTTCAAAAAAGTATGTTAAATTCATAAATTCAAAGGACTTGAAGAAGACTTCACGCAAGTTTAATTAAAAAGCGTTCAGCCGTTTTGAAAGAAATGGCGGATGTTAATATCAAGTTGTATCATCCTTGGGAAACTTCTGGCTTGGATACCAAACAGCAGATGAACAGATTTATTGCAAATAAGAAACAAGAAAATACAAATTTGAATGATTATTTATTGTTTCTTTCACAAACAAAACATACTTCCATTTCAGCATTGGTCTATTTATTGTGAAAAAAAACAACAGCAAAAGAATTTAGGAAAATTTGAGAATCATCATCGACTAATCTAAACCAGTGCCAGATTTATCAGTTAACTTACCATTTTTTTAGAACCTTTTAGTTATGAATCATATACAGTCAAGCACTAATTCTTATGATTAACAATGAAAAAGGCTTTATTGTTATGATGGTTGTCCTTTTTATAACAAAGAAAATTCTAATGTTCCAATGAGTGATTCTATTTCATTATTCAGTTTTTTACTAAGACCAGAAAAATAAAACAAAGAATAAAAAACAATTTTTAAGGATTGGATCTGCTGTTGTTCATTAAATTAATTAAAGTTTATCATCTTAATAATAAAAAAATAAATTTTCATTGACATTTATTTATTGATACTCATAAATCAGAAACTTTAATTTTTTTTTATCCAAAAATAATAAAATATTTAATTATTGATTTTCACAATATTTAAAAATTTAATAATTGATTAAAAATAAAAATAAATTGTTTTAAAAAAATAATATCAAAATTAAGTAACTAATTCATTAATTATAGATAAAAAAAAACCTGTACCACTACAACCCATGAAAGGTCTAGGGTTCAGTACTATTTAGGGAAAGCACTGTTTCTAGGTCAACGGTTGTGTAAGGAGGTGATTTGACCGAGATCACGCTCAACCGCCAGGTTTTCCCCCTTAATCAATTAATTAAGGGTACCCACTTTATAGAGGCCGGGTGTGCCCCAGGAGGGTCTCCCGACCCAGGGTCGCCCCACGGCCAATGAAACAGATAAATAAATTTTCTGCCATGAGCCGGGGTTCAAACCTGGGACCTTTACATCGGAAGCTCAGTGCCCTACCACTAAGCTACCCCACTCCCTATTAATTATAGATAAAACGCGTAATTGTAACTCTTAAAAAATTATGTATCTACTTTATACAGATCACACTTGGGCGGGTGTTATTGCATGAATTTTAAATGGAATAATTTATTCAATAAAATTCCAATCACTACAATTTGAGTGTTTCACGATTCCTATAATAACTTGCAGTTCTGATTTCTTCTGAGAATTATTCAGTATTTTTATTGGAAAAAACAAATTATTCAATAAACATATGTCTGAATAAATATTTATTCTAAAAATATATCCACTAATAAAAATTTATTCATTGAAAAAACTCACTGAATTATCATTTATTCTAGCATTAATAAATTTACATTTTTTTTTTTTCGAAATAAGGGTTCGTTAAGTTATTAAGAAAGCATTTCAAAAAAAAAAAATTGATTTTAAAATTGAACAATATCGATTTACATTAACATTGATTCTTCCTAATTTTTTTTATTTAATGGATATTAAGGTCCACCACTATGTTGCCAGAGGCGATTTTCATGAAAATACTGTCAAATTTCGAATCGCCCATCAAGTTTTTGTAATTTTTAGAATTTAATAGATATTAGGGTCCACTATTGTCTTATCGGAGACGCTTTACATGAAAATACCGTTGGATTTCGAATTGAAAAATCAAGTTTTTGTTATTTTTTTGATTAAATTAATATTAATATTAATTTTGAAGGCAGGATCAAGGGACTGAATATGCATGGGTATGGAATAATTTCTGCACCCATATATCCTAGAGCCTGCCTTCTTTATAAAAATAACCTAAAACTGCTGCCTCTATGGCAATTCTGTTCTAGAGATCTTGCAGCAGCATATACCCATCAAGGGGATAAAAGAAAAGCGGCGGTATATCTGCCATATGAACACCCAGAATCTGCAGAAGGAATTGATGAATTACTAAGATGCAGTAGGAAAATTGTAGCTGCCCTGGATGCTAATGCACATAAGGAGATCTGAGGGAGCTCAAACCCTTAACTCTAGAGGTGAGAAACTCTTAGAGACTATAATTAAATATCATCTTGATATTCTGAACAAAGGGAACAAGCCTACCTTTTGTAATAGGACTAGAATGGAGATCATAGACATAACACTAGCGACTCGATCGATTATTGTCCTTATAGATAACTGGCATGTCTCTGATGAAGAAACATGCTCGGATCACAGGTATATCAGATTTGATATATCTGACAGAATATGACATGATGTGGAATATAGAAATCCCAAACGTACAGACTGGGCGTTCTATAGTTCTAACTTGGAGGCGGCTGTTAAATGCTGCCCCAAAGTTATCCACAATACATGGCAATTGGAATGCTTAAATACTTCAATTACTGATGCTATGATTAGATCATATTTGGCCAGTAATGAAGCTAAAAAAACCATAACCAACAGAAAAGTGTCCTGGTGGAATGGTAGTCTAACAAAGAAATGAACACTCACAAGGAGATTGTTCAATGCTGCTAAAACATTTGGCAGTTGGGATACCTACAGGAAAGCTCTTAATGAGTATCACAAATCTGTCAGGAAAGCCAAAAGACAAGCCAGGAAAAGGTTTTGTCTGGAGGTTAATAACATTCCGGCGGTATGTAAAGTAAACAAAATACTGTCAAAACAAACCAACATAGGTACGATGGGAACACTCAAACATGATGATAAATACACCACAAATGAAATTGAAACGTTGAGTGTTGTAGCAAAAGCTCACTTCCCAAGTTGTTTTACGACAGTAACGGAACCTCTTGACCCCAATACACAGGATCGTGGTACTGGTGCACGTATGTGGAGTCTTGCAAGAAGAGTGATTACAAACAGCAGACTTGAATGGGCATTGAATTCATTCTCTTCTTTTAAATCTTCTGGAACTGATGAGATCTTTCCAGCATTGCTGCAGAAGTGTCTCTCAGAGATAAGGCCATATCTTCTGGAATTACTAAGAGGTAGCCTAGCACTGGGATATCTACCATGTAAATGGAGGATATCCAAGGTGCGATACATTCCAAAACCAGGAAAAGAGTCTTACGAAGACCCCAAGGCGTTTAGGCCAATATGTCTGTCATCCTTCATAATGAAGACATTAAAAAAGATACTTGACAGACATATTAGGGAACATATATTGGCTACTAGCCCAATACACTCAAACCAATATGCCTACCAACCAGGGAAATTCTATGAGGTGGCGCTTCATAACTTGGTAACAAGAATAAAGAAATCCTTAGAACAGAGAGAACTCATGGTAGGTGTCTTCGTTGACTATGTCCTCTAGATGGATTGGGAGAATGCTGGAGGACAGAGTCTTAAAATCAGAATTAGGGCAAAAGGAACTGTGGATTAAACCCTGTGATGGTTGTCCACAGGGAGGTGTGCTCTCTCCGCCAGTGTGGTGCTTTGTGGCTGACTCATTGTTAGAAGCCCTAAAAACTGCAGGCATTTACGCGCAAGGATACACTGACGATATTGCTATCCTAATAGGAGGAAAGCATCAGAGTGTCCTCTCTGATCTTCTCAATACAGTGTTTAATATTTTTAGGAATTGGTGCAGGATTAATGGACTAAGCATCAACCGTAGGAAAATCAATGTGTGCATCTTCACTAGGAAGAAAAAGGTGTTTATCAAAATGGCAGAAATCAATGGTATCCAACTGACACAGAGCAGGGAAGTTAAACACCTTAGAGTCATCTTGGACCAAAAATTGTCATGGACTAAGCACGTTCAGAATGGAACTGAACAGAAATCCTTATGGATTAGTGTATCAATGAATATGTGTAACACCAAAAAATAGTTTTTAAAAAATGTGACAAATATTTAATTTTTGACAAATGGTGCCACATCAAAAAAAGAAATAAAAAATAATGATTGCTCTGATGATGGGAAAATTGTCCCGAAACGTAAGAGACAACAAACATAATTTAAAAAAAATATGAAGAAAATTGGAAGTTTTATTGCCTAAAATATGAAAAAAAAAGAAAGAAAAAAAATAAGGAATAAAGTAAGATTATTCTGTACAATTGTGATATTTAATGGTCACATATCATAAAATAACTCTGAAAAAATACTACCTTTCCCAGAATCAGAATTCCTTATAACGACTTCGTCTTTACAATAATTCTTTCCAGGAATTTTAAGAGGGCAACCATATTTACCAGACGATTTCAGCACTTCTCCTGGTCCAAGATATTGTTGTTCATTATCAGATAAAGCTTCACCACTTGGTTCACCAAACTATAATTAATTATTCAATTATGTTAGTATTTCTTTAAAAATGATATAATAATATCAAAATGGCCAAACAATTGTCCAAATTAATAAAACAAAACATTTCTTTTCTTTTTTTCAATCTTTTGACCTAAGTTTCAGGTCTTCATTTGGGTTGAGGAAAGACAAGAAAAAAAAAAACTAATAGACCATAGAAGATAAAAAATATATATATATATGTGTTATCTAATAATAAATATTCAGAAGTGAGCTTCTTTCTATTATTTATTTATGTCCCTTCTTAGTAGATAACATATTTTTATTTGATATCTTGTTATTTTTTTGCTAAAATAATCTGTATGGTTGTCATCGTTGATAAAAAAAACAAAATCATTCGACTATTGATCAAAGATTTTCTTTATGACAAATATTAGAGAAAAAATAGAGTACAACAGTGTTGTATCAGCTGTATATCAATTTCAAAATGACTTATGATTCCATTGACAGCCAGAAGCTATATAATATTCTTATTGAGCATTGAGATTTAAAAAAAAATAGTAAATCTAGTTAGGATATGCTTGACAAAAACATTCAATAAGGTTAGCAGAGATAAGCATTTAACCAAAAGGATTAAGGTTCGTTTAGGTTTGACACAAGGTGATTTTCTTTCTCCTATCCTGTTTAATTTAGCATTAGAAAATGCCTTTAGGGAGATAATGTGTAAGATAATCTGGATCAAATGATATCTGTGCTTTGTTATGCTAATGATTTGGTCTTTTAAACAAATACACAAAAACTATAAAACTAAATATGGATAAGACAAAATATATGGTTAGTTGCAAAAAAGAGATAATTTTGGTGAAATCTATATAGAAAGGCATATGTTAAACACATAGAGAAGTTTGGGTATCTAAGGTCTAAGATAACCAGAAAAAACAAAATTGAAGAGCATATTAAGGATAGGTTGAAGGTAGGAAAAGCTTGTTATTTTTCTGTGACAAAACTAATTAACTCGTGCCTCCTGTCTCGCAACTTAAAAATCAGAATTTACAAAATCATTAACCTACTTACAGTTGTTAATGGAAGTAAAACGTCTAAATTAACCCAAGACTTTTGATAGTTACACAATGCTGAACTGTTTCTGGTTAATACAATTGAGGTTATTACATTGTAGTGAATAAAATGGGTGTGTAAAATTATTGGTTTTAATAATGAAAGAATCCCTAAAAGGTTAATATTCACTGTGGCGACTGATAATCGTCCAAGAGATAGACTAAAGTAAAGATGGGAGGATTGCCTGGCGAGGATTGGATTTGGGTGGTGTCAGCATCAAATCTTCCGGTTCGTTCGCTAAGCCTTTTATTATAATTTATATGCATACAAACATGTATTTATTGGATATGATGTTTAGATAGAACAAACTTAGCAGTAAAAGTAATATATTGAGTATAGTGAACTACAAAATACAATATTCGACAGTTTTTATAGTTCGTTAAAACCAATTTTTACTGTATATATCAAAATCTACTTTGGAAAACCTACACAAACCAGTTTAATGACTTTCTACTTTTTTGAAATCATAACCAACAAGATGATCATAATTATTAAAAGTTGAAAAATCATTAAATTTTTTAATTAAAGCTATTAATTTTATTTTTCATACTAAGGTCATAAACCATTTTAAGCAAGAAGTGAATTGAATATATAGGTTATATTGCTGGTAGGGCACGAGTTGAATAACAATTTCTTTTTAATCATAAAAAGCACTTAAACTTAAATGAAAGATGATAAGAAACATCAAAAACCAAATTAATTATGAATTATAAATTACCTCTTGTTGCAGAGGTGACCTCTTGTTATAATAAGAAAAAAATCCAAGCGGTGGCTGCCAACGACTAGCCCTAAGCTCTACAATCTGCAGTAAATTTAACCTGGACTGAGGATCCAGGCTTATTTCATTAATACCAGACCTTAAAACTTCAAAGATTTTTTCGAGCTTTTCTGAACCTACAAAGAATTCAAGATTATACATTAACAAAAAAAACTATATTTAAGCTAATATTTCAAATTATTATCACTTTTTAAGACTAAATAGACCGGAACCAAAAGCTTTCATTTCATCAAGTTTGAAGCTAGTATTTATCAACACTGATATACCTGTGGGGAGCTCTTACATTGAATATCCATGTCTTTTCTCCCAAATACATTCGAAGTATAAGTATTATAAGGGAAATATATTTATTCATATGAACAATATAATATAATCGAGAATGTCTAAACAAACACACACATAATAGTGAGGATACATACTTTATAATTACTATATTGAAAGATCAGTTTTCTTAATAACTAATGACCCCACAGATAATCTGTTAAGCAATGAGATTTAACACTTCATAAACTTATAATTATCCAATATATTAATCACAGAGGACAATTGGGTTAGAACAAAAGATTAATTAAGTGGTAGAATTTAAAGAGCAGCAAATTTCATTTGATTTTTTAAGTAAAAATAAAAAATATAATTTCTGCTTTTTTTTTTACCTTAATTCAGTCGATAAAATTATTTAATGTTAAAGAAAAATGGTATTTATTATAAAATATATTATCTAAAATATTGTTATAAACTGATGAATTTTTGAGAGATGGAGCAAAATTAAGCTCGCTCCTTCAGTTACACTTTGATTTATTTACTTACAACTCGGATACCATTTGTAATCAATATATAAATATTTTTATTTTGTGTTAAATTGTATATCTAGTTGATTAAATAATCATATATTTATTTACTTATTTAACCCCTTCCCTGCCTTTTACGAAAAAGGTGAGGGCTCCAAAGTTTATTTTTTATTTTTAAGCTTTTTATATACACTTCATTACTATCTGGCCTTTCGTTTAGAAACAGCAGCAATAAAAAACGTGAGTAGCTATGAATATTTGAAAGCTTCCTGAATTCCCTACTACAAAATGAAAAAAAATTTTATTCAGTGCGCGCATCACACAACTTTTACTTACCATCCTCTTCTAAGCAGAAATAAGTATTTTCAGTCAAAGGGAAGTGAAAGTAAAAATAATAGATGGTATGAAAAATTATTTAAAACATTTAATTACCATGTTTTTCATAGCCGTCTAATGTATTATATCTATTTTCTTTGACACTGGCTATTTCCTTTTACAAGACTATATTTCAATTATCTATTTGATTATAATAAATAATTAAGGCCACTTTAGCCACTGATAAAGAAGGCTGCTATGTTTATTTATATTTCCCTCTACCTATTTTTATTTGTTTAAACACCAGTATATATATAAATTTTAGTTTTTATATCGCTGTAATCTATACAATTAAATATTAAATAATACGAACGATACCATGTATAAAAAGTGCATATGTTTATGGATAAAATACTTTCAGAGTCCGAATTATATTAAGCTTATTATATTAAGTATGGAAGACTATTCTAACAAGCCAGCGAGCTTGGGTGTGCTCGTATTCCTTTGGTTCCTTCATTACAACTATTCTCTGTTACAATCTCTTATTTCTCTTTTGGTTAATTATCAAATTCTTACATATTTTATATTTAACTATTTTCTATGTAAGAGATCAATGTGAAATGGTTAATTATTTCAAATTAAAAAAAATTGAATGTACTTTATAGAGGAAGAAATATCGAAAATTAGCTATTTAAGCCCTGTTAGAAAACATCAATGAGAATAAAACCTACATTATATTAAAAACTGCTTAATTTTACACTGATTTAATGAAAATTGTTGTAGGCATTTTCGGGAAAATTCTAAAAATGTGTAAAATAGATTATATATAGTGCCACTTCTGGTTAGTTGATTTTGGCAAAAAGGTTGCAGTAACATCCCAGGTACATAAAAACCTATAATATGCATTTTTACTTTCATACGACTTGTTTTTGAGCTAGACTGTTCACACCCGCACACGCCCACACAGACCATTTTGTATGACTTGGTTATTTGGACTAAGGAGACCTCAAAGAATTTATTTCAATTGAAAACTCAGATTTGAAAATTTTCATGATCGCAGTACCTTCCCTTACTATTTTAGTTGTTTCACGGTTAAGTGGCCAAACAAAAATAAACTACGGACCTCAAAACAAGAAAAGAATTTCTCTGAAGGTATGTCCGCAAACGCTTTGTTTAGGAGATATTCACACCTAAAGATTTTATTAGTTATGAATTATTTACATAATATGAAATAAATAAAATCTATTTATTTGTTATAACTACTTTATTAAGAAGATTTCGGGATTCTATAAAGGGTAGGATTCGTTTCAGGAGGGTCTTTTCAAATATTTTTGAGAGGATTGAAAGTAGGCTAAATTGTCTGTAGGACGTCAACCTTATTAATTAATTATAAACATTAACATTCATATTAAATGCTGTTCAAAGTGAAGGCATGTCTACAAACACTTTGTTTAGGTTATGAATTAGGTGGAGATGGATTAGATAGAATACTAATATGGCCTTTTATCCCTAACTGTATAAAAACTATTGGCAACAAAAGGATTAATACTATTTGGAAAAATTCTCAAATATGAATTTTCATAGCAATCCAAAAATGAATTTTTTTTTTTCCTCAAATTTTCACCAAATGAGAAAAGTGGGTCCAAATATTTTTTTTTTAAAGTTTCATATTTTTATTTGCCAATAACTCAAAAAGTACACAAATGAAACTGCACTGTTTGGTAATTAAATATAAAAGTGAACGTAAACATATATAAGAGTAAAAAAAAGAATGTTGGAAACATGCAAATTCATTTAGGTTTTCCTTTAATGCTCAATAATGATTACGGTCGAATTTCGACCACTTAGCAAATGCTAGTCATAGTAAATTTCCTTATTAAAAATAATTATATTATTCTTCACATTTCTGGAATATATTTTTCTGGAATAAAATACAAGTTAATTACAAATATAAGTGAATAAAATAAAAAATTGTGATACATGTTATTTACAGCATTTCATCAGGGTAGAAGGGAATTATTTAAATTACTGTATTCTGAATGTTCTACCTTACCTCATGTATAATAATAACATAAATGGAAGTTATGAACATGATCAGTTAATCTTGATGTTTTTTTGTTTTGTTTTTAAAGGGACCCATCGTTTTGAACAATCTATGATTCAGTTTCATGAACATTAATCAAAAAGTATTTGATATGTGAAATTATCGAAGTTCTTATTAGCTTATAGACATTAAGACTCTTAATTTATTCTAATATAGGGAGGGAAGTAATCCTAATATTACCTATCTATTTGAGTAAAAAAAAGAAGGTAGAGATTTATTCAGAAGGTTAGGTTCCTTACAAAATAGAATTTAAAACTACCAGGCTTGATGCATATCGTTGGCATTTCGATACATACTAAGTTGTTTAAGCTAAAATCAGAATTTCCTAAAATTTTTAGTTTTATTTTAACCCTATGTTAATATTAGAAAACAATTAATAAGTATTTTTGCACTTCTATCCATATTTCCTATTTATAGAATCTTAATTTCTCCTAAACACAAATATAAGGCCATAGCTTTATTTATTTTATCATTTTTAAATGACAAAGTTTCGGCTAGCACTAGGGCCATTTTCAAGTCTTATTTTAAACTTAAATAATCAATTTACATATCAAATTTAAATTCATTGGTTTTTATTTAAAAAATAAATCTATCAAGTTGCGTCTCCCCTCATCTTATTAGGGTTACAGACCTAGTCAGTTTCTCCTTGTAATAAACTAATTGTAATACATTCCATGTGTAATATTACCGTGCACAATACACTCCATGAAATATACTGTTAAAATTAGAAATGTTAGTATATAATTCATGGGAATAGCGGACAACCATGAAATAAAACACATGAAATTTGCACAGGGAGTGACATTAACCTTTTACACAGTAGTGTTAATTATTATTAATCATTCAGAGCAAAATAACAATTTTTAATCATTAAAATAACAAAACTTTTTATTTGAAACTTACCAAGACAATTCTCTTCTAGCTGGGAACCATGATTTCGCAGACGTTGTACTAATTCATTGGTCAATTGAGAAATATTACTTTGGTCATTCTTTTGAATTGCCTCAGAAACTAGATCTAGTATTCTGAAAGTATCCTGTACTGAAGGAATACAAATCATTAGTTTATAAAACATTAATCATTACTCTCATTCTCAAATTATAAATTACATACACTGGTCGATAGCTGCTTCAGATTTTATCACAATATCAGAGGATTCATATGCTGAAAAACATTAAGATAATAGAATTAAAACTAACAGACAATTAAATTTATATAAATACAGTACAAAAACTAATGGCTTTTATAATAAAAAATAAAGAATCGTTTCTGTAATTTGTTTTATTTAAGATTTTTTATTAAACTCATTTTCTCTTTCCTTAATTTTAACACTAAGCACGATTCTTATAACTACTTCAGAAATACTATGAGGATATTATCATTTCTTTCTCTTCTTCTTTTGCTTCATTCTGTAGTGTCTATCAGCATAGGAATGTGTTTAACCAGGATTGCCACTGTTGTCTGTTTCTAGCCAAGTTCCTAGCTTGACAGAGATTATATTATTTCTCCGCTTCTCTTTAATTCTTTTTATTTTTGCTATATAGGAAAGCTTTGGATCACACAAACATCGCTGTCTTTTTAATCTTTTCTTTTTTCTCTCTCATCCTTTCCTCCTCTTCTCTGACCACTTCTTCCTCCCACTCCTCCTTGTCAAGGCAAGGACCTCATTTGGTTGACCCATTTTTGGAATTCGAGCAATTCAAACAATCCTCGCTTGTTAACCCCAGTTTTGTAATTTAGTTCTTAATCGGGTTTGGACATCTCTTTATATTCTTGAGACATAACAATATCAAAAATTTTCTTATTTAGTTTATTTTTGTCCATTCTAAGCACATGCCCATATGATTTCATTCTTCTTTTTCTCACTACAGCCTTGGAGTTGGTTTGCCCTCCAAATGGATTCCGTTTGTTATATATGCTGTTTGTAACATTATTATTAACCTTAATACAACTATCGGAAAGCTGAATTATTGCCTTACCAATGCATATCAATAACTTTCAGATTTAATGGCTTTATTAAGTATAAAAACTTTTTTATCGTTTTTTTATTTTATATCTTTTGGTTCTAATTTGCTTATGGATTCTTCGGTTATGCCATTTCATTTAATCTAAAGAGCCTTAGATCATAGATAATTTTTGTGAGGATCAGTGTAATCATCATTCAATTATCATTGCAATCAATTCAATTATTATTAGCCATCATAGCAATACTAAGAGCTTACATCCGTTAATTTTTTATGTTGTTGCCTGTAATTATGTCTCTAAAGTTTTCCCTAGTAAACTGCAAAATATTCTCAAGAATTTTCAATATCTGGAAAATCACCAGCTTCTTGTTATATATATTGATCTTCAAAATACTCTGTGTTCCTCAAATCGTCAAAATATATTAGAAAGGTTCTCAGAATTCTTTATTAGGAATATACTATATGATTTAGAATAATTTTTACTGTAGTAAATTTTTTTTTTTGTTAGAAATCTTGTTTCCAAGAGTACATATAATAATTTTCTGCTAAAATTCCAACAAATTTCAGTATATATTTTAAATTATGTATCTATTTCACAAAATTTTGTAATAAGTACTTAACATATTAAAAAACCATTGCTGTATTATTTTTCATAATTAAGTTTTCTTCTGCTAGATACTGATGCTTCATACACTACAATTGTTAATTATATGAAAAATAGAAATTAGATTAAAATATATGTAGTACAACTTTTCATTTTTTAAACAGAATTATGGAGAGGCAGTGAAGAATACGTATAGTGAAACTTGAAAAATAAAGTACATCAATAATACTATTAGGGTAGCAAAAAGGAAACTGCATACATGTTCTTAACATTTAAAATTGACTAAAAATTATAAAATACAGCAAAACCATAAAAATCTTCAGGTTAGCAATTCAATAGACAAGTAAAATGAAAAAAAGTTCTGATAAATTGTAACTACAACTACCAAGATTTGAAATAACCCAAAAGATCCAATCTAAATGATATTCACACATGAAAATTTTATATGGGAAGAACAAATATTTTGTTTGTATAATGCAACAGGTGTTAATTTCTTTTTTACAAGGGGGAGAGCAACTTTTCTCGACAGAAACTTTCAAATGATATACCTGTCTGTTCCCCCCTATTATCTATAAGTATATAGACAGGGTTATTGGTACAACAATAAAAGTTTTATTTCTTTAGGGACAGGGTGGCCCGAGCAGCCTATGCATATGCACAGCACCACAAGTTGCCCAGCAAAATGGATCAAAGATTAATTTGATTAAAATAAGTAAGAGTTCGCATTCCGGTGCGAAGGAGAGAGGGGAGAGGCTTTTAACTCTGAATCACCCACATGGCATTAATCACCCATCCTCACCCCCTAGGGACCGGAAAACCCCATATAGCCTAAAAGGCAAAAGGTACTACAATAAAAGTGCTTGTCTATTAATAAACAGATGTAAAAATAAAATAAAGTAGAAATTGTGATTGCTGCAAAGCTATAAGAAAATATTGAGAACATGCGATAATGACAAACACATGCACAGATGACCAACACAATAGATATGAAATAAAAATAATAGGTGTAGTAATAAAAGATATGAAGCTTCCCTACCTTCGGCAGTGAGAAAGCAAAATAAAATAAATTGTCTAGGATACAAATAAATGTTCAACAAGAAGAAACCAATCCAAAACTTAATATTTTACTTTTAATGCTAATTGAGCTACAAAGATTATTTATTTAAATACTACTGATGCAAGAACAAAATATCATACATGATGTAATGAAAAACCTGAGATGTTAATATCTTTAAGTTGAGTTTGATCCTTTTTCCTTAGATTTTTCAAGGATCACCCTCAATTACTTTAAGAATGACTTGTCAGCGAAACCTTATCCTTTTTCACGATTAGTGTTGCAATTTTCAAATTTGAACCATCTATTCACTGTTTCATTCAGCATTTCATCTTCAAATTCACACACAAAACTTGTAACTTCAGCAACTGTAAACTTTTGATTCCAGTAATATCTTAATACAACAAGAATTTTATAATTTAAAGAAATATTATTATAATTTTATAATTATGGAATAAAGTTTCTGATTACAAATATACCAGTGATATTTTTTAATATACTAGGTCGTAGAAACAGAATGACCACTTTATGGAAGAGCTCAGGAGTATCATTGTTCATAACTGATCCCAAGGTTTGGAATGTAGTTACTAAAAAAAGTAATAATCGGCAATCAGGGATCGGTACATCACATGTCACATTGCAATGTTGGCACTGTAATAAATGAATAATTGTTTCTTAAGAACTAATTAATGGCAAGAACTGAAATTTTACTGTGATATTATTAACTAGACTGGGCATTGTGACTGATTTACAGATACCCGATGACAGTCACTAAACTTCCCATTTCTACTATTGCTATATATTTTGAATTTGACCATCTATTTCAGAAGTGATTTTCAGTACATGAACAATATTATTTTTTAATTTTTAACAACAGGTTTAAGATCAGACAAACTACAAACTTTTTTGTAAATCATTTGGTCACCTAACTACTCTGCTATCCTTTTACCATTTAAGTACCATCATTATGACCAACAAAAATCTGACAACAGATACTCTGGATCAAAGTTGAAAGAATCTAATCATGGAGAGAATTTTATAAAATCGTGGACTCAGCGTTGTCGTTGGCACAATTAGTTAGAGGTTGAAGGAAAAACAATAGATAAGATATGAGACCCTGCCGCTATAAATACCACAACATCCTCAGCCTCAAACTCAACATCCTGTTCAAAATATACCTAATGCTCAACATCAAATTCTCATACTTCCCTTTAGCAAATACTACAGATCATACTAGTTTATTAACATCGTTTCTCTCTGAATTCAAACCCCCTATTACTCCTCTGATATCACTTCTTATTAATTAAGTATTCCACCTCATCCCTTCTTTAAAAAATCCTTAAATAACTTTAAAGAAATCAGTATCTGTTTCCCTTTCAAACGTGAATGGTATTAAAAATTATACCGACAAACTAACTTCCCAAACCTTTACTTGACAAAATCATTGATGTGAACTCGATTAATCACTAAATAGTTTTTCAAAATACCGCAATACTTGGCATACTAAACTGACCAATCTTACGGGAGACCACATGCCAGTACTGCTGTCATTGTTCATCAGCCTCTTTCTTATTATCTACTCCCTAAGCCTATTCATGTTTTCCTATAAGCCATCATCCTATAAGTTATCAAGACTTGCTACTATTCATTCACACATGCTCAGCATATTGTCCTCCTAACCAATCCACATACAATACACAGTTAAGTCTTCTCCTCAATTCCTTAGGACATCATCTCATTCCAGGTGCAGATTTAAACACTAAGCATCAACAATGGTGTTCAAGAACTCTAAATTCAAGTGAGCAAACTTTCAACTTTCCTTTCCGCAGCCGTCTATCTACTTCCCCACCGTATCCAAATATCCATGATTTAAAACAGGGACTTAGGCCCCCTCACCTCCTTCCCTTTTTCATCTTTTAGACTATGAGGGATGAGGCGGGAGATTGATGCCATAGTTAAAAGCTCCCCGAGCACCAGGATGCGAACTCGTAATTATTTTTATCTAATTATCTTTGATCCGGGTTGCCGGGCAACATGCCGTACTGTGCAAATGCATTAGCTCGCTCGGCCACCCCACTCCCTATAAATTCCAATCCTTAATTCCTACCTGTCCTCCCATTCTGCACATGACAATTCCCTATGTAATATCAATAAAAAGGTTCTAAAATCCCATCAAAGTTCCCTATCACCTATTTCTGACAAAAATGACATTAGATTATACTTCACTAGTATTATTACCAACAAGATTAAGCATCTGATGCCAGGAGGGAATCAGAATGGACAGGAGTATGAGCGGTAAAAGTAGTTATACTCTATTTGACCTTCATCTTCTTGTACGCATTCTATGTACAGTGGTCTTCCAAAAGTGGGTCCTATGTGAATATTACTGATGTTACTTGTTGATTGTAATTGTCTAATGCATTGTCTTGAATATTCTCGAGAAAATAAAAATTATATCTACTATATTTTAAATTAAGGCCCCTTTCACACTGAAGATACAAGTAAGACAAGATTAACACAAGATGCATGCATCCTGGATGCA